TTTCCAGCCTTCCTGGGGCCAAGGGCGAGAGGCTGGCAGCGCCAAGAGCCGTTCTCTAGCCGGTGGCTCCTTCCTGACGCCCGCTTCTCCTTGCAGGGAATCATGTTCCGGTGCAGCGCAACTTGCTGTGAGAATGGCAGGGCATCCATGCAGCAGGTGCACCAGTGCATTGAGCGCTGCCATGCTCCCCTGGCTCAGGCCCAGGCGGTGGTCACCCAGGAGCTGGAGAGATTCCAGGTGAGGAGGAGGAAGACGGGCGCCTCGCGGGGCGCTGGACTTGAACCTTGCTAGAACTGCTGGTCCCTGCGGCCGTTTTTCTGGGGGGCAGCGAGGGAGCTGGCCCAGGGGAAGCGCACATCCGCTGCGGCCCCAGGCCTCGTTCTCCTGGCAGAGCGAGAGCGCTTTGTTAAAAGACGATCTTAAACAATCACGCCCCAAGCGACTCAGTTCTGGTTTATATTTCCTTTAACACCTTTGAAAGGGGTCTCTCGTCAGTGTTTTAATACCGATGGAATCTTGCTGTTGGGTCAGTGATCGTGGCGGCAAGAAATGCCCGCAGCCCTTCGTCTCTGGCCCTTGGAGTCTCATCGGGTCACGTTTGCTGACAATCGGTGCTCCATTCTCCACATCTGTGACAGGAAACATGAAAAATAGTCTTCATTTGGAGTGTCCACACAGCGTGGTAGAGAAATTGTGGCCCTGATGGTGTGATTAAAGCAGTTTTTTGTGTGCATCACACATAAAAACAGGCGGAGATTTGATTGCACTGTCACAGCTGCCATCTTGACTTTGCTTACTCTGTGGGCACCCCTGCCTTCGATAGTTTAAAAAGCTAAGAACCACCCCTCCCAAATTAAGGGGGAAGAAACCAGCCGTACCAGCTTTGCATCATTGCCCCACTCGGTGTGGCCCTTGGGGCAGCACCCCAAAGGTTCCCCAACCCCAAATTCCAAGGAAGCCTATCCCATTACGAATCTGGAATCGGCTGATCTCCCCGTTTCATGAGGAGGACAGCACCGTAGCTCCTCCCCCCCCAGTTTATGCCATGCGTTCCGGTTCTTAGCCATGCCCACCTCTAACCACGTCTCCGGTTCTTCCCCTGCAGGACCGCCTCTCTCGCTGCACGATGCACTGTAACGATAAAGCAAAGGATGCTTTGGATTCAGGGAGCAAAGAATCGCATGTCAAGCTGCAGCTGGAAAACTGTGTGATGAAATGTGTGGATGACCACGTTCACCTCATCCCCAGCATGACCAAAAAGATGAAGGAGACCTTGGCTGGCATCGCTCAGTAGCATCCCTACCCCTGAGCACAAACCCGGGTCAAGCTAGGAAGGGTGTGATGAACTTGATGAAAACCAGGGAACAAAAGTGGGAAAGAGTCGGGTGCCTTCTCGGGGTTATGATGGCCCCAGGGTACGCCTGGTCTTGTGGAAGAAACCTGGAAGGAAGGCTGCCAGTTGTCAGAATGGGAAACCAGTGACTGGGTTTTCCCTAGCTCATGGATACGCTCACAAGCCCAGGCAATTTCTCTGCCTCGTTTTGAACAATTCTCCCTTCCCTGGTGGCGATGATGGGGCAGAAGAATTGAGAAGGGGCTTCATTAACAGCTTTGAAGTTTGCTCGCCTGTTGTCTTTGCAGGGCAGATTCACTTAAGCCGGTTAAAATTATGCCTCTGGTGCTCCATAAAGGCACAAAATAAGTATTTCTATGATCCTGCTCAAGGAGATGGTTTGTTCTGGGCCTGTATCTTTCCCTGTTCGCTCTCTATGTTGTGATGTAATTTAGTGGCAGAAGATGTAGTATTTGAACCTTTTTGAATTCTCCCAAGCTGGCCATCATCTCATACTTTCATCCAAATCAGGCAGGAATTGTTTTGTTCAGGCAGCGGATACGGGTGTATGTGCCTTAATGCTTCCTCAGTAGGGGGAAAATGCATTTGTGTGTCTATCCAAGTCTGGGCAAGATCTGAGCAGAAGTATCATCACTGACAGCGGGTGCGTTTTGCCACCCACGGATGAGGAGGGATTCAAACACAAAGGGACCCATCTGAACCTGGAAAGTTGTGCGGCTTAAGTTTGCTGAGTGAGTCAGAAGTGAAGGTTTTAAGGGGGTTTTAAAAATGCAACATCAAAATGTGAATTTTGCTACGGGAATATGTGACATCTTTTTAGTCACTCCCAAACCAAATGTTTATTAAACTCTTAAATCAAAATCTTGTACTGTTTCTCAGTCACTTTCAAATTATTTGTATTTGGACTGTGTTCCGAGTTCATTTCAGTATGGAGAATTTCCTTATCGGCCCACTTTTACTGTTATTCCCAGGACTTCTGTCGGTTATGGTTTTTACTTAGAAAAATGGGCTGAAAAGAATTGTTCCCTCACTCCATTGCTGGCTGTGAGGGCAGAATAAACAAACTTCACTATAGGAGTACTGCACACATATTAAAGAAGGAAATGCCTGTGAGGGATTGATCAAAACCAGTTTTTGATGGAGGAAATTGTCATCCTGCTTAAAGTCTTGTGAATTGGAATAGTCTCACAAATTGTGAAGTGATAAGAGTCCAAGGTAAAGAAAAGGAAAGTCGGGGAGCAGTATTTTCTCTCACTGGTCAACCTGCCAACGCAGCGATGCCTGGCACGTTCCTTAAGAGCTCCGGACATTCCCTAGCAGTGGCTCCGTCTGTTGAAACTAACCAGGGACCTCTAGCAGTCTCCATTCAAGTACTAGCCTGGTCTGATCCTTTTTGGGGATCAGCCATGGTTGCCCAGATGCACCTCCTGTTTTAGTGAATCACAAGCTAGTGCAGAAGAAATTTCTTCATAGACTTCTTTAATAACGGGTCTGAGAATCATTCTTGTTGAAGCATTAATTATTACGGTACCGGAGGCAGTAGTGGCAACCAAAAGAAGGGAGGGGCTGTATGCCTGTTACATTCAGATTATGCTGCTATATCCATTCAGTTATACCTATATATATAACTATATATAGTTAGGCTAATTACAATAGGGTTAGTACAGCAAATAACTGAATGGATATAGCAGCATAATCTGATTGGGTATGGGTATTAATGAAGGATAGGGAGGGTGGCACTACACAGACAAAAGCACTTTTTGTTAGACAACCACTGTGCTCTCTGGACAAGAGTTACAGGTGGTCCTCATTTACAGACCACAATTGGGACTGGCAACTCAGTTAAGCAAAGCAGTCGCTAAGTGAAACTGCAACTGCTTACATTCTTCCTTCAGCTTTCCTTTGCTGTACAGACCTGCAAAGGTTGTAAATGCGAGGATTGGCCGCAACGTTACCTTCTCATCAACAGTCGCTAAACGAGGCAGCCGCTAAACAAGGACTACCTGTACTGAATAAGCATTACTAGGCGTTGTCTCCCAGTGGTCTGGCTTCCCAGTGCTTTTCTTGTCTGGGGAGGGGGCAACTGACTTGCCTTAACTAACACCATCTTCCTACTACAATACCTAACCTACTTTTAGCTTAGTTTAGCATGAGTGAAGCCAGCCAGTGTTTTTCCCCTATTTTTTATTATTTCCTAGTGGGAGACCAGCCCTGCTCTGCTTTCCTATTCAGTGTATCCCGAATCCTCGGCCGGAGACCAAAAGGTGACATTTCCTTCTCGTGAATGAACTGATGTGGGACTGGTGGAGGTTATTTCTGACCCTTCCAGGAGGAGGAAGAATCAAAATGCAGCCTTACAGGAAGACACCGATTTGTGAAAGTCTCTGTGGGAGCTGCCTCTGCTCACCCTCCCCCAGAAGGAGACCAACTGATTTCCATTCCACGGACAACCAGGTGGGCTTCCAATGCTTTGGACTACAACTCCCATCATGCCTTGCCCCAGGACATGCTGGTGACGGCAGTCAGAATGCGGGGGGGCTCATGCTGTCCGCTCCTGCAACGCGCGTTGCTCCTATCGGCATCCAAACCGACCTCACCGGCTTACTCTGAAGCAGCTCCCCTTCCGCTCGCGGGTTTACTCCGCGTAGCCTCGCATGGAAACACGTTGCAGTATCTTAGCGTTTGCTAAGAACCCCATATCCGGACTGCAAAAAATCCGGACGACCACGCGATAGCAGCAAAGCGACCGCCTACCTCTGCTGCCACCTCGTGGTCGCCCGCACTTCTGCAGCCCGGATCAGGGCCGCGGCAGGCGCAAAGGGGCGCCGGCCTCCGGGCTCTGGGCTCCGCGGAAGCACGTAGCGCAGGGAACGCGGGAGCCGTCGCACGACTTCCGAGGAAGGCGTTACTAGGACGTCGTGGGCGGGGCGCTCGGTGATTGGTTGCTAGGGCTGGGGAGCGGGCTCGAGCTTCGTTGGCTCGGTCGACCTTTGCGCCTGCGCCTGAAGCGCCTAGTGATTGGGCAGTGAGGTGCGCGCCGTGCTGACGTCCCACCGGAGCAGAGACGGGCGGCGGGCGCTTCGCGTGGCGGCCGGGCTTGAGGAGGCAGAATGAGCAAGGCGCACCCGCCGGAGCTGAAGAAGTGAGTGCGCGCCGCGGAGGAGCTCCGCCGCGAGGCCCTGCGGGGCGGGGGCGCGGCGGCGA